GGACTGTCCAAGTTCCTCAATTTTTCTTTTTTTTTATTTGTATTTTTTTTTATTTGTTTCTTAGTTTTTTTTATTTTTTTTTTATTTGTTTCTTTAATTTTTTTTTATTTTTTTTATTTATTTCTTTTATTTTTTTTTATTTTTTTTACTTTTTTTATTATTTTTTTTTATTTTTTTTTCTTTTTTTTTTCTTTTTTTCTCTAACAAATTACAAAGAAATACTTACTCTATATTTACAATTACAATTTGAGTTTAATATCTAAAACATGTTTATACAATAATCTATATAGAAATTCATTGTTTTCTAATGTTAATAAATAACTTAAATTAATGGGATGGTGGACATCGGTCAAAGAATATAGCGAATTTAAAAAATGTTTAACCTTATTGGAAATAAGAGAACAGTCTAAAATTTTATGTTGTAGGTTACCCATCTGACCACAAGTACATTGTGGACTATCAGCTAGATTCATTTTAAACATATATGATGGTGTAAGACAGTGGTTAAATCTCATTCTGCATATAGTTCTTGTCATATCCTTTGTCGACTCCATTTTAGCAAACCAAGATTTATCCGTAATATGGTTTCTGATTGCTCTGTAATGCGTTCCTGTATTTATATTTTCATTAATATACCTTTCTTTCCATTCCTTCTTAAGCTCTTTGAACGTGTCTGATTCTATATCTCTAGACGTACAAAGATAATCAGTTAATACTCCTTGTGTCACAGCATTTTTTGCCAATTCATCTACTACCTCATTTCCAGTGATTCCACAATGGCTTTTAATCCATGCCAACTTAACAGTTTTGCCTTGTTGCTGAAGTTCTATAATTTTATTTATTATATATAATTCAACGTAATTTACTTTTGATTTAGGATTTATAGCACTAATTTTACTTACAGCACTTTTGCTGTCACTATAAATTGTAAACTTTAAATGATCTATATTAGATAAATATTTTAGTGCTTCCACTATCGCTATTAATTCAGCTGTGTATATACTCATGATGGAATTGAGTTTAAACATTTTACTGTTTTTATTATTGTCATCCCAGTATGCACATCCCACACCTTGTAGAGTAATTGTCTTGATACTTAGCAAAGTCGACGTCATTGTCTTTGCTAAGAGACGCTAATTGTATCCGAACGTCTGCGGTCCCTCCGGTGTGTACCGATCACACAAGGATAGAAATTATTTTCATTTATTAATTTTTTTTTTAATAAACGAAAATTTCCACCCAGGTGGGATTCGAACTCACGACCTTTAGATTTAAAGGCAGGCGCTCTTACCACTGAGCCACAGATGTGTTGATATTATATTTGACATAATTTATAGAACACATAGATAGAACTAAAAATTAACTAAATACACTGTATACAAATAATAAATATTCGTAACACCCTTTATTATTTATGTTTTGATTTTCATCTCAGATTAATCCAAATTGTTAATAATCGAGACTGTATGTTTTATTCCCATAAGTATGTTTTCTTATATCTATTCTTACATTGGCATTGATTTAATATGTTTGTGGTTTTATCATATTGAATTTACAAGAAATTTGCATTGTTAATCTATTGCAAACTTTCTACTAAACTTATAGTATCATCATCATTAATGGTGCTACAGCCCTATGAAAGAGCCTCGACCTTCCCAAGTCTATTACGCCAGACAGTCCTATCCATTGCCAACCGTTGCCAGTTTGCTGCGCCTATCTTTCTACCATCCTCATCTACACCATCCTTCCATCTGAGTTTTGGCCTACCCCTTTTTCTACTTCCCACGGGTTGTAACATAAGGATTCTTCTAGGGTTTGTAAAATTTTTTGTATTCGTGTTCTTTATTAAGGTTTTATTGATTCGTTGCCGGTTTTTCTGTTTGTGTTTTTGTTTTTCCTCCCGTCTCTTTACTCGATATTCTTCAACATTATAGTCCTTCTGTTGATCATTTTCAGATATGCGTCGTTCTTCTCTTTCGTTACTCGTTGGCATTCCTCATCAAACCAGTTGTTTCGCTGTCCTTTGGGTACTTGACCCAGCACTTCCTCTGCGGTTTCTTTGAGCGTGGTTTTTATAAACTCCCTATTTGTGTTAAGTTCAGTGGGATAAACCTTACTTCTGGGATGTTCTGATATTTTACGATCTAAGCATATTTGGAAGTTTCTTACGACTTCAGTACACTTTAATTTATTAACGTTATATTTGATTATTTTTGGTTTAGTTTGATCGTTCCTGGCGTTTGATATACGTGCTCTGAGACGTCCAGCTATGAGATAGTGATCGGAGTCAATATTTGCACCTCTATAATTTCTGCAGTCTAGTATATCTGATCCATGTCTTAAATCAATCAGTACGTGGTCTATCTGATTTTGTGTCTGATGATCTGGCGATGTCCACGTCACTTTATGTATACGTTTATGTTGAAATTATGTACTACTGATCGTCATGTTCAGAGATGCTGCGAGATTTACAAGTCTCGTCCCATTATCATTACATTCTTTGTGTATGCTGTAAGGTCCTATGGTTGGTCTGTACATCTCCTCTTGTCCTACCTTGGCATTCATGTCTCCGATAATCAACTTAGCGTCATTATTGGGACACTGTCTATATGTTTGTTCTAGTTTCTCATAGAATTCTTCTTTTTCTGTGTCTGTTTTATCCTCAGTGGGGGCATGTGCGTTTATAAGACTGTAGTTAAAGAATGTTCCACGTATTCTTAGAACACATATTCTATGATCTATAGCGACAAAACCTATTATTAGATTATTAACTCTTTTGCTAACTACAAAGCCTACCCCAAAGATATGTTGAGTTTGATGGCAGCTTTAATATATGGTATTCAGATTCTTTTGGAGAGTACCGGTCCCTTTCCATCGTATCTCCTGTATAGCTGTTATGTCCATATTATATTTGTTAAGAGTGTCTAAGAGACATCTCATCGCTCCTGTAGAGTACAATGTTCTCACGTTCCATGATCCAAATCGAATATCCTTTTTTCTTTTGCGAGATCGTCTACATAAGGTCCGTCCGGTTTTTGTTTTTTTCAGCTTTCGTAACAATTCTTTTTTTTCCAGGGTAGGGTTGTTAGCCCTACGTCCAACCCCCTGACTTGGAGGACCAGAGATTCTTCTGTTAGGGTTACCATACCTTAGTCTGTTTTGGTTCGCGGGTGGTATTTTATTTCCCACCTACCCGCCGATCCTGGGACCGGTTAGGGCGTTCCCCTATCCACTACCTGGGGACGCGTCCGATGGGAGACAGACACTCCACACGAATGGTCTTCTAATTCGCCCCGATTTTTAAATAAGATTTCTGATCAAAACGCTGTAGAACTGAATTTGAATCTTGATGATGCACCTTGCAAAATTTTGGGTTTAAAATGAGATTCAAAATCATTAGCATAGATTTACATGGATTTAGTGATGCAAGTCAAGTTGCATACGGTGCTTGTATCTATATAGTGTCTCGATATGCAATATGAAATAATCAAAAACATTTTCGTTTTGATTTCAGGGACCTGAGTTTTTGCTAAATCCCAAAATATATTTTGATGAAATTGATACCTTTGAGCAAATTGAGAATTTACCGGAAGTAAAGAAACTAGCTCTATTAGTTGTTAATCATTCACCAAATTATTGGGTAACTATGTTTGAAAGATTTTCTAAATTTTCAAAATTACAAAACGCAGTTGCTTACGTATTTAGGATTTTATGTAATATCCAACATAGTAGTGAAAAAATTAAGGGTACTTGAGCACGTAAAGAAGTTTCAAACGCTCATGATTTCATCATTAAAACTATTCAGCAACAATATTTTTCAATCGATATAGCCCACTTATTAGAAAAAGAACTCGTCGTAGACAAAAAAATTGCTCCATCTGAATCCTTTTTTAGATTCCTCTGGAATTGTACGTGTTGGAGGACGCTTGCAAAATGCAGATATGGGCTTCAATAATAAATTCCCTATATTGTTACTCGCACATGATCATGTTGCTTCTTTGCTCATTAAAAAGGAACATTGTAGGCTAGGGCACAGTGGTCCTCAAAACTTGTTAGGCAATCTGCGCCTACTATATTGGCCCTTAAGAGGTCAAGTATGTTAAACGCATTATCAAAAAATGCATTACATGTTATAGATTCAATGCCCAAACCGCATAACTTATGTCTCCTCTCCCATTGGATAAAGTTAGAATCTCGCGCGCTTTCTACACTGTAGGTGTAGATTTTGCAGGTCCTCTGTTTATTGCGGCTTCTAGATTATGAAAGGCTCAATGTTATTTTGCAATTTTCGTTTGCATGGCTACAAAAGCCATTTATTTAGAGTTGGTTAGTGAGTTATCTTCTAACGCTTTTTAGCAACGTTCAAACGATTCATTTCCCGTCGAGGCAATCCCCACACTATATATAGTGACAGCGGGACTAACTTTGTTAGTGCCACTAATCAACTTCTTAATTCGTCTTATAATCAACGTCTTATATTTCACAATGTTTTGTGGATAAGTGAGAAATATGGTACTTACTGCCTCTCATGGCATGTCCAAAGTACCTTTTTTTGTCGTTTTGATGATATTTAGAAGCTCCTGATCTTTATTTAGCAGTTTGAGGACTCCGTTGCTGGTGTATGTAGTCCAGGAAATTTTCACTATTCTCCAGTAGCACCACATCTCAAACGCCTCTATTTTATTCATTGTGTCGGCTTTTAAAATATTACTGACAGTATTTATCCTTACTTCCTTTATTTTGCATGACAGCAGCAAAAACACACAGCAAGTTCTAAATGATATGCGGCAATATCCACCTCAACTCAGAATAGGATTGCTTGCAAAATCCAGGATTGTATGTTAAATGATGCTTTCTTCACGTTTTATTTTTCTTTTCTTTATCTATCCTCCTGCTAAAATACTATTTTATCTTGAATATATATTTTTGTCTCGCTATATTGTTTATTTATTGACTTCCTTTTTATTCAAAACTACTTACACTGCAACTTTTATTTTTAGACATGTAGTTTCCAAGATAAACAAAACAGAAAACATGATGCTTTTTGTAATAGGAGATCATGGAATGACATCGACAGGTATGTACTAAGTTATAATTATATTACCATTTAATAAAAAAACTTGGTTGATATTATAATTAATTAAACTGTAAGAAACAGTTTAAGATATAGAAAAGATAATTAAGATTTGATTTCATGTATAGTACTTCTACGTTTCGCTTATACGTATTTTCTCCTTCCAGGACTCATCAGAGCGACTCAGTAAGTCGAAGTAATAATGATGTTTGTAACTGGTTTTGATTACAATCCTGTAATATTCATAATAAAATATTTCCTTTGTTCATTATTAAATTCACTCTACTGTCACTGTCTAAGTTGACAGAACTGTCAGTTAGAAACTCTCGCGGAAGAAGTATGGTGTTTTAATAGAAATTTGTCTTTTAATAAGAAAATTTGTCTCCGCAATTGCGAAACTAACAACTTTGTGTAACAATGTATATTGTCACATATTGTACCTACCTGCTTCTGTTACCTATAGTACGTAGAGAAATAAAAGTTAGTTGCAAGTTACTCGCATTCTTTACGTACCATAGACAATCAAAATAATACCGTCCACTCAAAAACCTCAGAGAATAACGCGGGATAAGTTAGTAGAAGATCAAAAGCACGTGGAATCACACATAATTCCATCTCAAACGCCTGCATTTCCTCCAAATGAAATAATTTTTTAAAGATGTAAACGGCGACATCTAAGAATAAAGCAAAAAGTAAAAATCCGAAGATTTCTACTACTTGCTCGAAACCAAAATTTAAATTCTTACTCAAGCCTGGAACTGTACACTGGGGTCTGAAAAACCCAGGCGCATAAATTGTTCAATGTAACTTGCGCATGTCTGCGTCTTTTGGCGATCCCTTGCACGTTAATTCAGTTAAGAGCCGACTACGTTGAGAGACAGTCGCCGCGCCGTGTAAGTTTGTTATATAGTTTGCTGTGACGCTTTTAGTGGAGCTGTGGGTACTTCGGAACCCAATGTGCAGTTAACGGGTGTTAAAATTTTGAGGTGGTTTTTGTTATTTGCTAGTATGGCAGATTCTACGAGAAAATATCAGCGTCCACTGACAACAAAAGAATTAGAATGGGAAGCTGAAAACCTGTGGGCGAATGAAGATGAACCGGAGACCATCGAAGATGATTTTGGAGACTCATCAGATGAAGACGATGATTATGTACCTGAACATCAGTCTCACACACATAACGAACAACAAAGTGACGACGATAATGAAGAAGAACAAACAGAAACCAATACCTCGCAAAGAAATATCGCAAGTATACTGGGAAAAAATGGTCATCGTTGGACCACACAGGTAATAGCACGACAAGGACGCCCAAGAAGGGATAACATCGTTTTACATTTGCCTGGTCTAAAAAATGAAGCAAGAAATGTTAGTAGCCCTTCTGAAGCTTGGAATTTACTATTTTTTCAAGAGATTGTAGACATTATTGTGCTGCATACATATCGAGAAATTCTTAGGAAGTGTCAGAGTGGCTTACCACAGAGTTACAAAAACATAACCAACAACACAGAAGTCAAAGCATTTATTGGTTTGTTGTATCTCGCTGGTGCATTACGAGTCTCAAATTGTAATTTAGATGAGCTTTGGTCAATAAAATGTGGCAATGGGCTATTTTGGGCAACCATGCCCCAACAAAGATTTCAGTTTTTAGCTCTTTGCTTGAGGTTCGACGACAAAACAGACAGAAATGCTAGAAAATTGGTTGACAAGTTTACCCATATTCGCCAAATATGGGGCATTTTTATAAACAATGCAAGCTATACTACACGCCCTATGAGAACTGTACAATTGATGAGCAACTCGTGTTTTCGTGGAAAATGTCCATTCCGAATTTACATGGCCAGCAAACCTGATAAATATGGAATGAAAGTAATGATGATAAATGATTCGAAGACATTTTATATGCTGAATGCCATTCCATACGTTGGAAAAGTTGATGTTGAGAATACTCAGTCAGTTCCTACATATTATGTCAGAAAACATTCCCAACCAATACACGGTACTCACCCTAACATAATGGATAACTGGTTCACGCCAATACCTCTAAGTGAACAAATGTTGGAACAGTATCAGCTAACAATCCTTGGAACGTTGCGAAAAAATAAACGGGAAGTACCTCCGAAGTTTACACAAAAAAAGAGGTAGGCACATCCATATTTGCTTTCGACAGAAACAAAACGCTAGTTTCGTACACTCCAAAGGAAAAGGTACTACTTTTATCAACTTTGCATCCTGATTCATCACTTAATACCTTGACCGTAAAACCAAACATTGTACACTAAACATTAAAATGCAATTTTAGATTCCCCATGTCTCTAATTACATCTTTATCAACGTCTGTTTTGCCTTGCAATTCTTAGAAGGCAGAGATTAAAGCAGAAATCTCAATTTGGTTTCGACAAATAGTTTACGGATTTCAGATGTCGCTATTGCGTCCATATCGAAGCCATTTCAGTATTGCTTCTACTATGACAGGAAAGATTGTTTTCACGTTCAGAGCGTTTGTGAACAGCCGCTCCGAAGACTCCTTTTAGGATGAAATACGTATAAGCGGATATACAAACGCACTGTACGTGAAATCAAATCTTAACTGTCTTTCCTTAAAAAAAAAATTGTTAGCAGAAAAGTGTTCCAAATTAAAATGCATCTTTTGGATGACACTCTGCAGTGGCGAAAAACATCTATTTTTTGTATACATTAAACCATACTTAACAATGAATAGAAAAAAAATTATCATAATTATGATATGTTTTTTTTTGTTTAATATTTAAAAATTGTTTTTATTTCCAATTTAGAAAGTAAAAGTCCGCTTAAGGGATAAAAGTCCCTGTGTGTGTTATAATTCTTCCTATAGTAGCAGTAGCTTACAAAGTCACCATCTACCTTGATGGCCTTAAATAAAAACAACACATACTCTATGAAAAATGATAGACTAATGGAAATTACTACTCTTGTAGGAAGAATGGTATTATACACGGTATCTCGAAATTGAAAAACATGCTGGTCGTTAAACAAATTTTGAATACAAAGATAGCAGGACGTTGTGTTTGGCTAGAAATATCCGTATAATACAATTTTTTCCACCCTCAACACCATTTAATTTTGCCTAAATTTTTTTTCAGGTGATCACGGAGGAGAAAGTACTGACGAGATAACAGCAGCAATGTTTGTTTATTCAAATCAAATTTTGTCAAAAATTGATACTTCAGAATCGGTGAAACAAATAGACTTGGTGCCAACTCTCTCTACACTGTTGGGGATTCCTGTACCATTTCAAAATTTAGGCGTTTTAATTTTGGATAGTTTGCCAATTTTTACGAAACATTTGGAACTAGAAAATTGGAAGTTTAGTCTTTATTCATTGTGGGCTAATGTCCAACAAGTGTTTGAGTATATTAAAGAATATGCTGAGAATGAAGGAACATTTGATGAAAATGATTTAAAGATTTTTCAACAGAGATATTCTGTGCTAAATGCTAAAATAATATCCATTGATAGTGAAGAGAAATTTGAATCCTTTTCCAAAGAACTGATTAAGTTTTTGACCGATCTACGTCAATTATGTGAAGTTCTGTGGATTCAGTTTGACTCATACTCAATGACTCGAGGTTTACTTTTTATATTTTTAACAACTTTCTTTGCATTTGTTATAACAGATGGCATACCTACAGATACTTTGTCGAAGGTATTTTCTAGTTCTTATATACTGTGTTCTTACGTTCTTGTAATATTAGGAGGTATTGTTTCTTCCCTCGTTTATTATTTTGATCTAGTTGATGATTTAGCTAAAACATCATTTTTCGCTACAGGTTTCTGTTCTCAGATAATGTTAGCTTTGCTGGTTGTACAGAATTGGGACGTCATAACTCAAAATTGGTATTCTAAAAGTAAAATAAAAAATATATCAAACTTAATTGCTCGTTTCGTATTGATATTTAATGTCTGTGGGTTATTTTCAAACAGTTATATTATAGAAGAGTCTTTTGTTCTTCTCTTTTTATTAGTTACTGTTGTACTAATAGGTGCAATCGGTGTAGCTTCTAAAAAACCTGACGCCAATAAGAAGAAGACAGTTTCCAAGTTTTGGAGCTGGTCTAAATTAAAATTCATAATTCTTGCTGTTTTGGTCGCTGTCTTTGTTAGAGGTTCAGCGTATTTTTGGAGATGCCGTCAAGAGCAACAGTGGTGTTTTGGATCTTACCATGAAGTTGGATCTGGTTCCAAATCGGAAACTACTAAACTACAATGGACTATAACTGTCATATTCTTGGGAATGTTTGTATTTTCTACAAAAGAATGGTTAAGAAATGCGGGAAATATGAATGGCTACTCTTTAACTGTTACTGCAGTAAAATTTTTGCCGACTACTATAGTAGTATGCATGTCGGGTTATTGGGCAATGAGAAGGGTTTCTTCAAATAAGAAATCTATAGGATCCTTACATTCAATTAATTCTTTAGCTTGGAGTGTTTATGGCTTGATAGGTTTAGGTATGCTAGTTTGTATTTTGAAACCGCTTTATACTTACGTTTTGCCTACCACGAATTTTCATCAGGAGGTAAATAGTATTCCAGCTCTATTTAAGAAGATTAAAAATAATATTACTGCCCAAGACAAACCAGATAAAGACGATATTCCAGTTGTGTATGGTATGGGAACCGTTTATAGTGCAGCTTTCGTCACAATTGGAATCTATTTAACTCTTCTGTTTGCTTTACTTTTGGGAGATGCAGTAGCTCCATCTTCAGTGATTATGTTCCTAACAGCTGCGTTTATTCTCATAGTAACATCCGTGTTACGAATTGAAAAAGCGACAGATATAGGTAAGACTTATATTGTATTTGTAACCATATGCTTAACAGCTCAATATTAAGTTTTTATGTCAAAAAAACGTTTCCTTGTTCAATTTAGTTTACACTACAGCTAAAATAGTTTTAATGCCATACTAATTATTAAAAAAATATAACAAACGACTTTCTTAAATATAACAAAAATTATACTGAAATGATGGCACCCCTAAGATAAAATATTCCGGAAATGAAATGAGAATTCGTTTCGGATTTCTGATGTTAGGACTATTTCAGGAGAAACGCCATTACAGTTTAGAATAATCAGGTAGACTCTTTGAATCTTGGAAGTCTTACAGGTAAAAGTATGCAGTTGGTAGATGCGCTTAAAAGAAGAAGGGTACAAATTGCTATAGTCTCAAAATTAGGAGAATACATTGATAATAGGTTGCCAGTAAAAAAGTGGCCAAAAATATTTTTAATTCAATAGGACTTTTCATCAAAAAACAGTCAGCCATTTTTTTTTCGAACAGACATTTTGTAAACAAACTGGTTAGGTTAGTAATATACATAATATATAAAAAATATTCATTTCAACATACTTCACAATAGGGTAATAACTATATTAGGGTAATATATCATATTATGTTATCATATCTCATAAAACTTTTTAATAGGCTTATTCATTTAACTAATTAAATTTTTAAAACTCCCAGAGATTTACACACCAGGTCTCTTACCGTTGTTAGGCAACCATTACCCAATCAAAAAATTTTTTAACTTCCATTTCTTTGGATTTCAACAATCTTTTAGTAAGTATACTAATTTTTTATACCTTTTATTGCACTATTATGTGGATGGTACCACATCACTACCTTTAATTTTCTACCTTAATCAATTTTTCATACTACTTATGATGTCATAAATTCAACCTTAAACATTAATTCCACTAGTTTAATAACTCACTTCTTTTTCAATAATGAAGATTTGCAGATTTAAGACAATAAATTTTATTATTATTATCATTAATAAGATATGAGGTATTATTACAACAAAATAAAATTTTGTAATTTTTATATTAAAAAAACAAAATTACATTAGTTTCGGAACACACCCATACCTTGTCATGTTAAGTTGTCTTCTTGAATTATATTATATTCGTGTCACCTCAGCCAGTTGGTCTGTGTCGTTTTAACTGACAAGTACCACGTGTTAAAAACCGAGCAGGGAGACATGTAGTCCCTAAAGTATTAAATTTTATCCATCGACCTAGAGTCACAACATAATTTAAATTTGGAATAATGTAAAACCATATATGGATGTCACAGCCACAACTTTATTGTTAGCTTCAACCACATAAGGCACTGAGGATGATCTGATTAGATCGAAAACGTTATGCCACTATATAAATTTTGACGATCGTTTTTAAAAGTTGTAACTATATGTTTTTTACCAAAATACAATTGTGAAGTGTTTTAAACTTCTGTATGTTTTTTTTATATAAATAATATAGATAATTAATGTAAAAAATACCAAAGAAAGTCTAGTTATTAAAAAAAATAAAGTGCCACAAATAACAAATTAATTTTTTTAATCGAATATTATTATGATACCTGTACGAAAAGGAACAATGAAGCGGTGTTGTTATGGAATGTGTAAGAGTGATACACGCTCTAAATATTCTAAATTATTTAAAGACTATACATATATTTTTTTATAAATTTTCTCAAGCATTTATTTCTTTATAAAATAAAAAATATTTGTATAATAAATATTTCTTTATAAATGTATAAACGTATGACTTATAATATATATATTATACGTCATTGTCAAATCTGTCTGTACGAAGAACATAGTGGCTCGTGAAAAGTCCTGTAGATAGTAACTAATTTTTAAACAAAAAATTAAAGCTATTTTTTTCTTAACATGGTGATATATGTTTGCCTGAGAAAAATGGCCAGTTTTTAAAAATGCGAGAGAGCTAGCCCGCAATGCTATTGGTTTGAAGTGTGTTGTGTGAGTTTTTAAAGCATGCCTCGATAGATATATAATAATATACATATTATCACTTGTCAAACCAATGTCGTTGCGCTTTATTTTACTTTCTCTTTGATACCTCGCGTTTTAACAGCTGGAGGTAGGTAAAGTTAATATCTACAATAATGTCGCTACAAACATCTTCATCACATTTTTTTTGTTTTTCTATTTTTGGCTAGTTTTTTTCTTTACCGAGAAACATAGAACTAACATGTAAACTAGTTCAGCAAAGGTGCAGATCTGCTTTTAATTTATAACAAAAATGAATTTACACACTTAAATATATTTTAAAAGCTCAATAACCTTGGAAATACGCATGCTCGAACCCTAAATGAATGCTAATGAATCATAAAAACATTAAATATTTTAATTTCATACTAAATTCAATATTAGTTCAAGTTTTAAATTAATCAATCAATATTCAAGTATTAAAAACAACTGTAAATAGTAAATACTCACAACTATTTTACTAATGCAAAAACTAGTTCGACTTTGTCTTGCTATAAAAAGAATGCACTGAAGAGAATTTAATGTTTTCAGCAATGTCTGTTATGGTCACCAAATGAATGCGTCAGGTTCACGATTTTTTGAACTCAGTCTACCCTTAAAATTATTTTAACTTTTAGAAACCACCACTTATATTTAACCTTCGAATGTAATAATAATTAAGACTGATATTGGCCAACTTTCATGCAATTACAACTTTTGGTCTTGTAAAATTAGAAAATTATTGGACTGATCTTAGGTTAGCAATCTCGATGTTATAGTTATACTAACGTAAAAATATTGCACACTGTACATAATATTCATTGTTAGTAATGTTGTACTACTTATAGATGTATACGTATTTTTTTTTTTTAGAACAACTGTTTGATGTTCCGAATATATCGATACTCATATGGATAATTTTTAGCACAATATTTCTTCTACGCCACAGGACACCAACCATCGTTTCCAAATATTTCTTGGGAAGCTGCGTTTATAGGTACAACTGGAACGTTTTCTAATAACGTTATTCCCGGAACCTTGATTATCCTGAATACATTTTGTTCGTATATTTTAATGGGAGTACTGCTGCCATTATTATTAATCACGCCGTTTACAGTATTTGTAATGATTCCTTCCGTTTGCGAGAAAAAACAGGAGTTTAGAGTAGAGGCCTCCAGAGGAGAAGTTATTTTATTTGAAAAAGATAGACTGATGTTAACGTCGATGTTTAGTTTAGCTTCGAAATATATTTTAGGACATGCAATACGGGTAAGAAATATTTTTCTCCTAGTATATTGTTAAGACTCTACATTACTGAAGCATAATATTTGTAGAACTTTAGTGTTAGTTAATAGAAACCAATTTATTTTTTACTAAACGTAGATAGATGTTTGTTGACGTTTCTACAGACCGTAATAGCTTTTGTCAACATTTATCGTTAAAATAGACAAATAGTATCACCAAGTACATACATTCTTTAACTGCTACTATTATTAACAGCCGATTTTTGTACTTCATATCCTGCATTTGTGTGAGAATGATCTCAAACATCTGCTCAAAAATCCGCAAACAAAATCTTAAACTTTGCTGTTTGTTGCTATTCTAAATTATCTTTCTTTCTTTTCTCATTCCCTTACACCTTCTTGAATCATCGGCGGTTGTGAGTCGTGAGTATTGAGTAAATGCCTTATTGATATGTAAAGCCAGATTCATTGTCGTTACAAACGCGCTTTAGAACTACAGAGCCTCGAGCAAGTAGTTATTCGAAATGGCATAAATATATTTCTTTAATAAAAAATCCTGTACCCAGCGATATCAGAACCGCCTTAAAATTATAATTAGAAATGTGCTTTATTGTCACTGAAAATTGTACAATTTTAAATCCTGCAAAAAGTCAAAAAATAACAATTACAAGTATCACAAAATAAAAGACAAAAAAATAAACAATCCATTGCAAAATTTAAATAAATTGCAAATTGCGTAATAAACTTACGAACTAATAAGTTGAAGTTGCTGCCTGTAATACCCAAATATAGATAAAAATACTTTAGTTACTTATACATAAAGGTGCTGTAATTTCTTGGTTATTCATTAAGAAACTCTTCTACTGAATAATATGGTCTTTCAGATAGATATATTGTGTCATTTTGCGGAGCTTGGGGAAAGATGTTGCAGATTTAAGTTGTAAAGGAAAACGGTTATACCGGGTGGTGAATCGTCAAACGGGCCATAGGAAATTCAATGGGAAATTCTAAATTGTTGAATTCCTGCTTCCCTAATTATTTTACATCAAAAGTCATAAGAAACTATTTGTAGAGGACTGGAATATGTATTAAAAACAAATGTTTAAAATTGTTCTACGAATTATTTTTTTTTTATTTACAATAAGGCGTATCAACCTAAGTGGTTATTAGCGCCGCTTGGTATTACAATTTTTTTTTTACTTTTTTTAGACATAGATTAAACATATACATAGACATACATAGAGTTTTACATACATAAATCTGAGTTGAAGTACATTGGTTAAGAGAAGATTACACATTTATTTGTACACGCACTGATGTTTAAATTTGGTTGTATATTCCTATTGATTTTAGAAAACAAAACGAATAGACACAGTTTTCTTCTAAACACTCGCGTAGTGTTGTCGGTAGGTTACACTTTTGCCTCTCATTTGAATATGCAGGGCATTCAATTAAACAATGTTTGACACTTAAACTGTTGAAACACTTAAAGCACATTGGATGAACACTTTCAGTAATATGGTATTCATGTGTTAAGCGTATATGTCCTAATCTCAGTCTGTTTATTATAATTTTGTCTTTCCTGTTGCTACACATATTCTTCTATCTTGTAATAGTTGTTTTTATGTCTCGTAGTTTTTGTTGAGATTAATTCCATTCTTGAAGCCTCCGTTCTTTTAATTTCGAGTTAATCCAGTGATGAAAATCTTTCTTATAGGTAGCTTCTATCAAGTCTTCCTTGTTAACTGAAGATTTGGCGGCAGCATCTACTCTTTTATTACCTTGAATACCTATATGTGACGGAATCCACATAAATTTTACATTCGCATTCTTTAGCTGAAGTTGGTATAAATGGTTCTTTATCAATCGCAACAATGCATGAGTTGGGTAAATGGTGCCTAAGCTACTCATGGAACTTAAGGAATCTGTTATTATTAGGTACCTGTCTAAGTTGGCGTCCAGTGCATATTCTAACGCTTTGTAGATTGCGAATAGTTCTCCTGTATATACTGTGCTAAAATTTGAGATTTTGTATGAAGCAGTGTAGTCGTTGTGCATGAAGGCACATCCCACTCCTTTTTCTGATTTGGAGGCATCAGTATAAATATGTTGGTATTTCTGGCACTCACCAATCTTACTGTAAAATTGTTTAACCATAGAGGAAGCATTAAGTTGATTACTACTAGTCTTTGTTAAACTCAAGTCTAGGAAGGGTTTTCTGACCATCCAAGCAGGAGGGTTAAAAGGGTGGTTTGATATATTTTAGGGAAGACAATATTATTACTGGTCATGTATCTATTAAGTCTTTCATAAACAGGGGGTTTAGATCTTTTTGGTTAAGATATGTGTGTGGAAACGAAAAGCAAAGACATTGTTTCTGACGGGATTTTCACTATTTGTTGAAACGTTTGCAGCGTATGCTAGGCTAAGATATTGTCTTCTTAATTCCAGAGGAATTTCTCCTACTAAACATAGTAAGATATCTGTAGGTGTGGTACAAAAAGCTACTAAGGCTATTCTTACAGCAGCATTTTGGATTGTTTGCAATTCTTTCAAAAGAGATTGGCAGGTATACCCATACACTATTGAACCGTAATCGACTTTAGATCTAATAAGGTTTTTATATACTGTCAATAAGATACCTTGATCACATCGCCAATTTTTAGTAGATAGGACTTTCATTATGTTCAAATATTGTTGACAAGATGTTTTAAAATAATAAATAGGTTGCTTAAAATTTTTTATGATATGATAATGTTTATCAAAATTAATTCCAAGGAATTTGATACAATCAACATATTCTATTTTTGTATTAAAGATTGTAAGTTCTGGACTACTAACATTGCGTTTTCTGGTGAAATGGATGCATTTACTTTTGTTGGAATTAACTAGTGGTACTCCATATACAATGCGTTTGTGACTAAATAGTATCATTTGCTCGAACCAGTTATTTCCTACTCCCCAAGTAAGATTGGAACCAATTTAAAGAAGTACCTCGAATTCCGTAGAAATTTAGTTTTTTTATCAAAATGTGATTTACACAATCAAAAGCTTTGGCCTAGTTACAAAAAAACAGTGTAAAGATTCTTGTTTAGTGCTTGGTAAACCTCACGAAGCACAGAAAACGTAGCATCACTGGTACATATATTAGATAAAAAGCCGAACTGATTTTGTGATAAAATGTTGTTTTCAACGAGAAAGGACATAAGTCAGGCTTTTATAAGTCTCAATAATTTTGGATAGTACCGGTAGTAAGGCAATATGTCTATAGTTCCTGCATTTTTCACCACCCTCAGGAACAGAAATAATAATGGCTGTCTTTATACACTCTGAAAATGTATCTTTTTTAAAGGAAATACCATTATTTAGTGAGACCAGGACTTCCAATACATTTCTTGGGAGATTTGAGAAACTTTTTATGGATAGTCCATCAATACTACAGGAAGGTTTGCTTTTGATACTATTGATTGTTTGGATCAGTTCAGATTTATTAACTGGTCTTATAAACAATGAATTTGAGACCTTTTTGGAATTGGGAAGATAGGAAATGGGATATTGTGGCACATTAACGAAGTATTCATTTAGATTTTCAGGGTTTGGCAGGGAAAATGTTTGAGCTGTTTTAGTTTTATTTCTAAGATCGTTAGGTTTATGATGGACCAAAATTTTCTTTTGCAACACTTTTAGAGCTTTCCAGGCGATTTTGATTGTACGCTTTTTTTAGCTGTTTTGATAAGTTTTAGATAGGTTACTCCATACTTGGTGATATATTCAGTGACAGAAATGTTGGTGGTTAATTTTTGATGTACACAAGTGAACGTATATTCTTGGCTGATATGCAGATACCTTTGGTAGTCCAACGTTTGTGATGTTTTGGCTTAATTAAATTAAAGGACATGCTTTATTGAAAATACAGATAAGCTTATATATATACAATATATTTTTGAGACGTGTATCTAGTCTTTTTTTTATTCCTTTTTTTCGTCTTCGTTACTTTAAAGATGGACTTAACGTTTCGCCAACTGTTTGCCATTCGATCCGTCACATGTTTAATTTGAGACAAAACAGTTTGCCTATTGCCCCCCATTGTTGGTCGATAGTGCGGTTGACTCTTTGAGTGTAGAGATCGCTTGATTTCCGTTTTTGCGTAACCATATTGTACCGACCTTTTTTGTAGATGTGTCAATTTTTTATCCAAATGTTTTTATGACTCGTTTCTATATTCTTATACTGATTACTATTAAACTGGGAATAAGCCACAATTAAAGATAAAAATGCGTTATTGACGTTTCAATTTCCACTTCGGAAATCGTTCTCAATTTCAGAACGATTTCCGAAGTGGAAATTGAAACGTCAATAAACGTATTTTTATCTTTAATTGTGGCTTATTCCCAGTTTAATAGTAATTAATTTACAATGCCACAAGAAAATAGCTTCAGAACAATATTCTTATACTGATTTGGAATTTTGGAGTTTTCAACTTTTTTTACATCAATTGAAATTAAATATTATTAAATGTCTAGAATACATAATTTAGATGCATATAAAATAGCTTTTTTATTGTTCTAGGTATTTGCAAGTATGTTAGCTGCTACGATACATTGTCGGCATTTGATGGTATGGAACATATTTGCACCGAAATTAATTTTCGAATCGATAGGAATGTTCATAACGTTAGGCTCAGTAATTGTTGGCTACCTCATACTTGTACGAATCAACAATAAAACCGAATCGTTAATCCAAACTCTTAATAAAATGAGCTGATTTGTTTTTCGTCGTAAGTTGTTATTAGTTATTTATAATACTTTTTGAATTTGTCAAGACATTTGGGCATTTTTGTGCTAGTTTATTTGTAAAAAAGCGTTGACCACATACATATAATGCCTTGATATGGAAAATGTTGTTATAATCTTGAATTAATAAATAGATTTTATAAAATTGTTGTTTAGTACTACCTTAAATATGTAAATAATGCTAAAAAAGGAAAGACTATGTAAAAGTAAGTATTAGTATAATTGTGACATGAAATATGAATGATAATAAATCAACTTAATATGCCTGATAACAACTTGAAGATTATCGGAAATTGCAGAGTGCCAATAAACGACACTAATAAATAATGAAAATAAATAATTAGAACTTCATACGTCATATTAATGAAATATACAAATGTACCTGGAAATAACCAAAAAAAGAGATAAAATCAGTAATAGATTATTTGGTACAAGTACCTAGAATAAAAACATTGGAGGTAAGAGTACATAGGAATTTGAAGGTATCAGTGAAATTGTGATCTAAACAAAGCAAAAAACAAAAAAAAAGATGAGAGTGCAAAAGAAACAATAGAAAAAATTGACCAACGGGAAAATCTAAATCACAAATAGTGGCCAAAAAAAATTGAACATGTGTATGTATGTAGTTGGAAATATGACTACGGATAAAAAAAATAAAAGATACGTTGCTAAAAAGATGTACCTACACAGAAAAATCAGGTATGGGAGGAGAAATGAGTGGAACTAGAACAATACCTATATGAGCTCAACAAAAGTGGGACAATAATGAATACCAACTGAATTCAATAGTTATCTGAGATATTAGGCAGCACGTATAACAAAACTTTATATGAGCTACGTTGGGCCCAATGTAACAAAATATGGGTAGGACTACCTAAGGAAAACAATTCCTGTAGCTGGCTGTATACCACGTATCACAAAAAAGAGGTTAATCTTCGTAAATGGGTATATTTAAAAAACCCTTAAGAGGGTTACATAAAAAAAACAAACGTTTTCGGAATAAAACATTCCATCATCAGGTTTAAAATTGCCTAAAATAAGTATAAACCATTTAGTTAAACAAACGTGGTTTAACATTTTGACTAGGGTTAAAAAGCAAAAATGGTTATACTTACAAGGTTAACATGCCTGAGCCACCAAAATATCAGGGTAAAAACCCTTTAAACTACATGTAGTTGTAAAAGATTGTACATAATGTTGTTATAAATCTGTGATGTTGAATATTAAATTTAATTAATTAAGGATGTAACGAAAACAATAAATAATATTGATTATTGAACAATATAACAACTCAGGGGTATAGTATCAAAAATAGCTATGTCTACAATTTTTAGAAATTGACATTTTGATGGCAATATTTTCATTTCGAGACAGCCTATTACTAAAGAAACAGTTTGGGATTAAATTTAGCTTAGTTCAGAGTTATTTTAATTAAAAAAAATGTTTGGAAACAAGCTTGGTTACGTCCAGATAAACTTAGTATCAAACATAGCACGTTCTACACGTACGCCAACCAATAAGAACACTTCATCCGAACCCAAAACTGTCATGGCCGCTTATATCATTTCTATGTTGTTACACCGTCAGTTTTTCGCATTTTAAATAAGAACTCCTGGGATTTGAAGTGTAACCTAAATATAACCTACTATGCCTGTAGATAAAAACCAGGAACGAAAACAGATTTCACAGCTACAAAACTGGAAGGATAATAAGTCGAAAAAAGATAGGTAAGTTCGTTTGTTTATCAGGGCCAGTACCGTAAGTCGCATTTAGATACATGTTAATCTAGTGATGGACAGAACTAAGAATCGAGAATTTTTTTGAGTAACTGGAACCGCAAACCATATTCGCGTTTAAAATTGATTAAAAAATAAATAATACTGTTTTAAATTTATCAATTCATGATTTGTTTAATGTTTAAATTCGTTAATGGCTCTCACACTCACTGAAATATGTGTACCGAAATGTGATAGGGTGAATTGGTCACTTTGCGCTTTAGAATAAGCACGTTTTGTTAAATGGGGAATCCTATTAAAAATAAAAATTTTGGTATCAGTTATGCAATCGTATATCAGTAGGAGGTCAAAAAATTAATAACTTGAGATATGCTGATGACACTTTAATAATCGTGGCAAATTAAGAAGAAATGGAAGAAATAATGAGATGTCTGGAGGAAAAAAGCAAAACATGTGGACTAAAGCTAAATTGGAGTAAGACAAAGATCATGATAGTAGACAGAGCTCCAACACATTAAAGAAATTGGGAGCTTTGAAGTAGTAAATAGTTTCATATACCTGGGTTCCCTAATAATAAATGACGGAGGGTGTGACAGAGAGATACGTAGAAGATTGACTATTGCTAGAACAGCTATGATGAAACTGGTAGCAATTTGGAAAAATTCTAGCATAACAATACACACAAAACTAACGCTGATAAGGGCGTTCATTTTTGCCATAGCCACATATGCATCCGAAACGTGGACGTTAAAGAAAGCGGATACAAATAAACTGGACGCTTTTGAAATGTGGGTATACCGCCGCATGTTGAGAATATCCTGGATTGATCATCGCACTAACGTATCGATATTAGAACAGCTGAAAGTAAAGGATATATTGCTTAAACAGATACAACAGAGATATTTGCAGTATTTTGGACACATTGCTAGAAGAACAGGTGCGATGGAAAAACTGATAGTGAAAGGTACAGTTGAAGGAAAGAGACCTAGGGGAAGATCTCTAAGCCGTTCGTAGATTAAACAAAAATGTTGATTAACCAAGGGTTACATGAAGCCGAACAACTAGCCCAGGACAGAGAAGGATGGAGGAAAATCCTAAAAAAACTGTGAAGGCCTGATGGTGTCACCAAATCCCAAAAGGGATTAGGACTGAGGAGGAGGATGCAGTCGTATTGTCGTTTTTTTTGTATCACAAATATTCATTACATGAGTATATTACATATATTATGTGATCTCCAAAAAGATTTGATTATAAAACTAACTTATCCGCTTATATTGGTAATCGGCAAACGCATTAAAAAAACTGCTGGCATCCGAGTACCCAGACCGAATTCTTTAATAATATAGCGACGGCTTCCTCAGCCAGTATTCGAATACATGGTTTAAGTGCTGAAGATATCTCGAGGACTTTCAGGAATCGAATACCTACTTGTTGATTTTTTTTATTTGAGAAACCCATTACTAGTATAATCTATGACTAATATCGATGGGTGTTTGGAAGAGTTCTTTTAGTTTGCGACTTATGATATCGTGGGGCTAAAAACAATTTTGTATTTTTTATAATTTTGTTTTATGTATTCTGCAAAGAGTTTGTCAACAGTACCACGTTGTGATCATAAAACCAAAGTTTTTGAATGCAATAAAGTGACAGGTAAAATATTACGACAATTTCACACGACTTTTTATAAGAATTCGGTCAAATCGAACCAAGATGCAGTCTGAAATGCTGTCAAGCATTACCAATTAAGAGAAAACCACCAAGGAACTTGATATTGGATCCTGCGACTGGAGATCAGACTCCATTAAAAGCAATCAAGCAGTATACCATAAAATATCGTATAAAAGTCGATAACCAATCTATAAGTGTTTGCCAGCAGAAGTTTGCTTAGAAGAAGTGCATTTATTCGCACAAACTTCAGTGTTCAGAACCACATTATTGTCGAAGCCAAAGTTCAATCTGTAAATATTTGACAAATGTAGGGGAAAGGATGAGGTAGCTGGTTCGATTAATTAAAAGTAAATATTTGAAAATTATGATCTCACCTTCCTACATTTGGTAGATAAAAAATAAATAAAGCCTCGAAGGACCAGCGACCTATGGATCGCAAAATTGCGGATTAGTAATAATGTAGTGAGTAGTAAAGTAACAGTAGAATAATTAAAATAAGAATAAAAGCTAGAAATATTGTTATTATATCATTTACAAAAATAAATAGAAAAGGCAGAATCGCCAACAAATCACCCTTTTTATAATAATAAAATATAAATGTTTATATACAATGTTCTTAAACACACAACTGTTTATATTAAGGTATAGAACAATAAAGTTAATAGGTAGATTATTAAATATCCGGCAACCCTGTAATTTGTCGGACCGGCATTCATGAAATGTTGTCACGAAACCCTCAAAAATTCTAATACTATAGCATCTGCAGTGTATAACCAACTAAACAAGACGTATCTCACCAATATCACTACCATTAGACTGATCTCAAACGGCTACGGAGGCCAGAATAAAAATTCCACCATAATCACGATGTGGTCTAAATGGTTGTTAAAACATCCTTCTATTAAAACAGTAGAACTGGTGTTTCCAGTAACTTTCCACTCCTATCTTCCAGGAGATAGGATGTTCGAAAACAGTGAAAAGGAATTTCGTAAAATAGACACAATACATTTTGGTCAATTTTAGATTGCCCTTTCGGGTGTATACATATATACCTTTTATAAAGGATTAAAAAAAACTTTATTTGATTTTCGATAATATATTAGAACCTAATATAAATAATCACATAATACATACAGCTGTGTATTGGATTGCCTACAAATTAGGCGAAAAGAACGATTTTATATCCTATTTAAATAAATAGATTAACAAAAGACGATAAGTGATGTCACACCGTTACACAAGTTATAATAAACTGTTAATTGACGATCGACCAAAGTAATAGTTGGATAAAAACACGCGGCAAGAGATATAGGTCATCCTACATCACAAATATCCTTAAAGTTATAGTGAGATTTTACAGAAAATTAAAAGAAGTAAAACATGACATCACTAACAAAACCACCTAATTGTTTAATTCGCAAAAATAATAAACCTATTAACAACCCAGATAAAATAAAACAAGTATGTACTAAATATATTGAATATCTTTTCATGTACACAAGGGCGGCAACTTACGCGCAAGGTATCTAAAGGTAATATCGCAAGCTAAGGTTTAGAATTTCTTGTTGGATAGTGGGTCATATTAAAAAAGGTGTCACCACTTGCGCTATTTAATGAACAGCTTGAAATTACGTAGAAACTACTAAAATAATATCTTTTAGTATTTTTACGTATTTTTTTTAAAGTATTTTTACACATTTACTGGACAATTAAAAAAGTCTTTGGCAATATCGCCAAT